TATATATATATATACAAAACATTTTTTCTTTAAGTTCAATTAATATAAATATAAAGTACTTTTCATACACGTAGAGCCCCTGGCTATCGAAAATATAAAATCAATTTTCGTAATAAACGTAATAAACATTATGCGGCTCGCAAGATTTTATCTACTTCCGAAAATAGCCTTCTAAAAATGATTCTTAAGAAAAGCTTACGCATCTCTATAATATATTGAAAATCCATTAAAATTGATGAGAGACGGTGAGATTTTCTCTTGAGAACTGATGGAAAATTTATAAAATAGATACTGCAGAATGCTTAACTACGCCTTAGTACATATCTGCGTCTTAGTACGTATCTAAATGGGATAATTAGTGCGAATGTAAATGGAATCATTCATTCCTACTAGTGTATGATGTCATTATTTGTCAATGCAATGATACATCACATTAACTTTTGCGTTTTAACTTTTCAATTTTACAAACAGATACAGAAATGCTTAATACGCAGAAGAATGACGTAAAGGATTGCACAATTTTCTGTAATAATCCGAAATAAAATATCCGTTCCCCATGAGTTGCTTTAACGTCAATGTAATTTGCGTGTAATACGTACGAAAGTCGATTATAAAACTGTGTGTGATTTTACGCAATTTTATGTTGGATATAATTTAATTCGTTATGTTTATTCATGTTTACGTAGCGTAACAAAGGCACGTACAAGATTGCTATGCCAAAGAAAAATGCCGAAAAATTTTTCACTCGTAGCTCCTCTCGACAGGCAATGGCAAACCACCGAGAGTATTCTTGCCATGTACACTTTTCTAATCTAAATAAAATTATCGTTCGAAATTGACATTAAACTGTAGATTCCTTATGTACAATTAGCATACGCACCATAGGTGCATATGAGAGAAATCACGAGCAATAAGACTGAGCAGGAAGATGCATATCCCATTAAACATGAAATGTTCAGGTAATGTTACTTTAGAGAAGAATATATCGAATGTAAAATGTTTTATAATAAACGTTTATGAAATGTTGTACAAAAGTTTTGATGAAACGTTTTATGTCTAAGTTTTACGTCTTGTAGAACATCGCAAAAAACATTACATTTCGGTAATTAAAAGTAATATTCGCGTCGTTGCGCGACGCGTTTGAGCAACATCCACTTTGTAACGTTATATATTAAATGTTTTGCAATGTTTACGGAACATTTCATTTATAATGTGTTATTAGTAACATTTCAAGATGCTAGTATAACGTTATATATGAGACATTTATAAAATATCCATTATATAACGTTACATGAACTTTTTTTTGTGATAATTTATACAAATTAAAAAAAATTAAGAATCAATCTAAGCTGATAGATATGCTACCATTAAGAAAGTGAATAGAAAATAATGGGTTATCCATAATCGTATAGTTGCAATATTAATACGATACGATAGTGGCTACATTAAGTATGTAATATGACTGAATTAACAATATTTATGGCTAATACTTCTAATCTTTTCTCTCCGTGTACGAATTTATCATAGTACAGATCGAGTGTTGAGAAGTAGAGATAAGAAGCTTAAGTAAAAAGGATACAAAGGTTAGATTTCGCAACACCTATGGTCAAAGGTTACCATGAATGAATTTCATTAATAGATGCTTGACACACACACACACGCGCGCGCGCGCGCGCGCACACACACACACACACACACACAGAACCTTCAGTTGCCATACAATGCATTTTCTTCAAGAGATCTTTTTGGGAACATCCTTTGGAGATCTGTGCTACATTCATTCATTACGACTTCGCATCTATGCTGCGAACATAACATATGTCCAGCGATCGAGTAGTTATTTGAGGTAAAATTTACATAGAAAAGGAATACGTTTGATTTCAAGCACGATCATTTTATCTTCGTTCACCGAATATATATTAACGAAAAATAAAACGATAATACATTATATGCGCGTTTATAAACTTTATGAACTCACGGCGATGAATGACTTCATGTATAAAAAAAAAATATTTAAGAATAAAACTACACTTTTTTTTGTAGTTTCATTTCGATACTTTTTGAAGTAGACATTTTTTGTGTAAATGTCGTGGAGCGATTTCCATGGTCATGGCAGCTACACGTATCACACATGGCTTGTGTGTTTCCCTTAAATATACAAAAACCAGTGTCATATAACATACTACAAACAACTCCGTTAGATTTAAAATTAATGGACCGGCCCTCTAAGTCGACAAAGCGGTTAGCCTGCTTGCCGAGCAAATGAATG